CAAAGTTGTATAAACCTTGACTCATTACTCTTTAATTGTTGAGAGAAGCAATTTAGTGATGTTCTCATCAAAGAATATGTGATGTAATGTGGACTTGGTTGCTCTACGCCTCATCATCTGCTGTTGCTGTTAAATCCATTTATTTATTATAATGTCACTGTGTGTGATTCACAGACTGCAAATATTGCCATATGCCATGAAATTATAAAGTAAATAGTGTAAGATTTCTCCCTTCCAGCAAGAAACTGTCTTATTTTGGCAACTAAATCATTAATGGAATATTGTTGCTTGTTGCTTTATGAAACTTTACTACCGGCAAAGGCATCTGATTTGATAGAATCTTGCAAAGACTGGAGTGGAGCCTGATACTATGTTAGCTTTTTTGCACAGTGGTTAGCATTATATGTTGCTCTTGCTGCGATTAAGTTAAAATCACAACCAACATGTGAAGATTTCTTATCCTCAGCTATCATTGTAACTTTCAGCATCAATCATGATTTAGGCTTTTTTCTGTGTAGGGGCAACATCACATGTTCCTAGGGTTGTCAGCTCTGGGTTGGGAAATTCAAATACCTGGAGATTTTGGGGGGTGGAGCGTAAGGAAGGTGGGCTTTGGGGAGGGGAGGGGCTTCAATGGGGCATTATGCCATAGGCTCTGAGTCTGCCTTCCAAAATGGCCATTTTATTCAGGTGAACTGTAGCCTGGAGATCAGTTGCAATCCCAGGAGATCTGCAGCTACCACCTTGTTATGTCCGTGGACTGCCACTGGGCGCCCGCGATACAGCGGAGCTTGAGTCTGGAGAACAATGGGACCAGGCTCCTGCACCCTGCCACTAGGGGAACCAATGGGACATTGGCGGGAGGTTTGAATGGGCCAATGGGAGGTTCCCCAGACTGTATATAAGCGGCCGGTTGGCCGTTGGTGGGTGTGCGTGTTGTGTACTAGTAAAGTGTGCAGTGTATCATGCGTGCCTCAGCAATTCTTCCATGCAGCTAACCCACTACACAACACACCTGCAGGATGGCAACCCTATGTATTCCTCTTTAGTTTGAAGTCGTTTCATCTTCTCAATACATTTGTCATCTTCGCAAAACGAACACTGCCTCTTGAAACGCAGAGAGATCCCTCGATGAATGTAGGCTTAGGAACTCTGCATTTCTGCTTCTATCTATTGATGCCTCAGCAACAGCTAACATCTCTGCTGTGTGTACATTTCTTTCTACAGTCCGCACACACAGCAAGATTGTTGGCTCCTTCTAATTAGTGATGCATCCTTCACTGTACAGCATTTCAGAGCCCACCCTTTTGGGATCAGGTTCACAGTTCTGTCCTCCATAGATATTCCTTGAACAATGAGGACAGTGGTTCATGGCAGGATATATTGGAAGAAATGAGTGGTTCATTTCTGGCAGTCTTAATTCATGTTGCTAGGCTGTGTTGAAGCAGAGGAAAATTATTTTTAAGTATTGAGAGACTTCACAAGAGTGCATCTTGTTGTGGAATTGGTATAGAAATTCAAGCCAGTCAAGTAGAATTTGTGTCCATAATAGTTAAAAAGCCCCATAAGAATTTAGTGGAATTTTTACTAAAATGTTGTTGAGTTTCTCTATACTTCTACGTTTTCTTACCCCTCTACTGGACTAGAAGCAGGAACTTCTGCTTGTTCTGTTCTGTTCTTGTTGGAAAGTTTGTATGTATATGTCAGAGTTTGCCTCTCAGTTGCAAAAAGAAATGGCATGTATGGATAGAAAGTATGTGATGAACCATAGAGGGGCTGGGAAAGATAAACTGAACAAAGCCAGAGAATATATAAAAAAATATGTAATGAACCATAAATATGCTGGTGTAGATATCTTCTGTGCTTGCACAAATAGATTCATGTGAAGGGGGGTTATTACCGAAATTTCAGTTTCATGTGCCCTAATTCCTCTCCCCCACACCCAGTGAAATCATGTGTTTCATTAAAAGAGAACTGTTTTCTACTGCAGATTTGATCTCAATGTTGTATTGTCCCAATTCAGGACATTGTCCTGTCCTTTACCCACCACTTAATTTTAAAAAAGATGAATTTACACCAGTGCATCTGTATAACCTGTCTACCTGGGCACACTGTTTATTGTGTCTGCTAGCAGAAGCTATAAACCTGGTTAATTTAGCATCCCCAGTCCCTGGCCACTGTGTTATCCTCATGCCTATAATGACAGACCTGTATTGTAAAAATATGTAAGTGTAAGTCTGGGCCGGGGGGCAAGTTTTAACAGGCCCCAGGAACTGTGCACATCTCCACTTGCCGCTCTGTTGTCCTAGTCTGTGCATCTAGGCACCTCTCTCCTAGCCATGCTGTGATTGCGGAACTCAACCTGGCTGAGAGAAAAAGGCCCCTGGAAAGAGAGTCTGCATGATGAAAAGCTGCAGGTGCCAGCAGGCTCCTTTGGTTCTTTCAATTGTACCCCTATGGTGGGTGTTACAAATGAACAGGGCAGGGTTTTTTTTTTGTTTAAGTTGAAGATCTGGCACATCGCTGAGGCCTGAGGTTGGGCTATATTGGATATGACCTCATCAGGGCTGTCCTTTCCCCTTTCCCTTCCCAGTATATTGCATTAAAATTACTGGGAAATGTGTGGGAGCTACCGTACAAATTAAGCAACTCTTTAAAAAAAACCGGCATATAATTCCTGAAGGTAAATATGTCTGCTTTTAAGAAATGAATGAAGATTATTTTGTGCTTGCTGAAGCAACATGGAATAAAAAAAGGAATGTTGGTATCTTTTATTTATTTATTATTTTATTTATTTAATTTATACCATGCCCTCCCTGCCAAGGCAGGTTCAGGGTGGCTTGAACCCTGTTAACGTATTATTACAACACTCAGAACAATAGAACCCCCAGGACTTAACAGGGATATTGGTTTCTTATCTCACTACATATGCTAACCTCATTAAACCCTTACATCTGTATTCTCACTAACCCCCCAGAAGGGCCATATGTCCTCTTTATTTTATTTTATTTTATTGTTTGGTATAATAGAGTAGAATAGTAGATTGTAATGTAACATAATGAATAGTAGAATGTAATATAATTTAGAATGGTAGATTGGAATGTATTTCTCTGGTCTGGGGACAGGGGAGATAACTCTATATAGCTAATCACCCCACTTCGGAGAAGATGTTGTAAAGTTGCCTCCATGCTTGAGAGGAGATGGATGGAGCATGATGGCAGGGTCTCAGTTACTCTCAGTATTCCACAATACATCTGCCCATCCATCTCCAATTTTGACATATTTATTTCCTTCACTATGTTTTCTCCCCTGGAATTAATCCCAGACAAAATGGTAACCATATAAACTAATTAGTTGCTGTAGATTTTTCGGGATGTGTGGCTATGATCTTGGCATTGTAGAACCTGCCGTTTCGCCAGTAACTGTGACTGGCATCCTCAGAGGTATAAACACAGAAAGATGGAATACTCTCTGTGTCAAGCTTGTTATTCCTGTTTGGTCCTTGAATTTGTTAAACATCTTCATTATGCTGTCTCTTAATTTACTGCTCACCCTCTACTTATATGTATGGACTGGTAATTTCCATTCCAATGTAGCTGAAGAAGTGTGTGTGCACACAAACGTTTATACCTTGAACAAAACTCTGTTGGTCTTAAAGGTGCAACTGGAGTCAAACTTTGTTCTGCTGCTTCAGACCAACATGGCTACCCACATGAACCAGTTAAAATATGCCACTTAAAGTCCATTTCAGCTCTTCTTCTGCTATTGGTGTATCTGTAAAACAAATAGGCAGTTCTAGGTTTCTGACACAACTAGAAAGCTGATTGTCAGTCTTATTTCAACCTTCTTATACTTTACAAAGTGTGATGCAATTTAGATCTTGCATCCAGTTTTCTTGAGATGCCAAAATTTATTTATTTACTTCATTTGTAGCCTGCCAACAGCATAAGTCATCCAGTGAGGAATTCAATAGGAGTAGGATGACAAAATTTCTGGGATTAGAACTCTAGACATGAGGTGTTAAATATGGATGTAAACCCTGCAAAAAAAGGAGTTATCTTTCCCTCCCTTGCACTGTTTTACGATTGAAATGCATTAAGCCCCAGTAGTACTGGAAAAGATGGGCACGATATGCATATTTATTGCCCCTCCCCCCCATGGGGCTAAAAGCAGCCGAGGGGGGCACTTCCGATCAGGGAAATGGCAAGGAGGATGAGTTACCCCCCATTCCTTGACACTGATTCAGATGTGGGTCTTCTTGTGGCTCCTTCTTAGGGATGAATTACATGTCTGAAGTTCCAGTCTAGGAACTCCAGTATTGCGTGTAGTTTGGTCCTTTGGTTAAAACAGTTCATGTTGTGTGTGGAATCCTTTGCTTGATTCCTCCAGCAACCTGGAGAGAACTACACCTCCAGATACAGTTTTTTTGTTGTCTGTGACCTAAGCAGTGAACCTGAATGTAAATCTGAGGCTTCTTCCCTTTCGATGCATAGGGAGCTTTTCTGTTGGATGCACATCTAACTCCATTAGACCTGTCTTTCCTCACAGACACTTGGTTAGGATTGATGCACACAGCCTTTTTCCAGCTCATTTTTGATATGGTGAATTCTGTGACTGTCTGGATACCATCCAGACTATTTCTTTGCCAGTCTTCTGAAACTGAATGATGAAGGAGGTGGCAAGTTGTAATGTGAAGGCCTGGCTGACCTGCTGATGTCAACCTGAAAATGAGTTCTAAATTGGTGTATATGAATTATTTTTTAAAATAGGCATGTTGATGGGATTGCATTGGGCTCCAGAAGAAGTTCCTAGGAGGCCCAGAGAAACCTTGTTCCTCCTTAGAACACCTCTGCAAGCTATTGTATGTGGTGCCAATCTCCAGTACTCTTGTCTTTGCCTGGAGGAATTCCCTCCCCAGTTGATCAGTTCTGCACACAGTGAAGTGTGGCATCAGTGATCTGAAACTCAAATTCCATCTGGCTTGTTTTTTGTTTTTTTAGGTGATGAGCTGGAGTACATTAGACCCAACCTTTATCGGAATGTTGCGCGACAGCTAAACATCTCCCTGCACTCAGAAACCGTGGTGACGGATGCCTTCCTGGCAGTGGCAACTCAGATCTTTTCTTCAGGTGTTGTACTACAATCCAGAGTGGGGGAGGGGAAGGACAAAGCAAGGGGTGTAAGCACAGGCATGTTTTAGGACAGCCTGCAGGGTGGGGCCCATTTGGCAAAGGATCCTGACTGGAAGCAGTTGGCAATGGAAGCCTCACTAATGATTTAACACAAATCCATATATGTTTTTCTTCTCTTCCAATTTACCAGGTGAAGAGATGCCCATCTCTCTGTTCCTCTTTTCCCAGAAGGGGGAGTTAATTTCAACCTTTGGGTCACTATCCCTCTCAGCCGTTACTCCCTTAAGCATTTAGAAAACTCTGGTTTCTTCTTTTCCATGACTGCTGAGATTGAATGCATGCCAGGCTAGCTGACATTCCTCATTCACTCTCAGGTGCCTGCTTCTTCAGCCATGAAGAGTAAAAACCAGAAATTGGGATTTATTTGTGATCAAGGGCTGTTATTTCAACCTTCACGTGTTTGGGCTGGGGAGTATATATCTGTATCTGACTTGAGTGTATTGATTGGCTTGGTTTCCTTTCAATCTGTTATTTTCCCTGTACTGGCACTGCAGAATTGATTTTCTTCCAAAACAAACAAAAACCTCTTTAAACCAGAATCAAATCAAAGTAGGTAAAGTGATTTTTAAAAAATCTATCCAGTTTTTTTTAATCCAGTTTTCATTAGTGAAAGAAACTGAAGTCCACCTTGCTCTGTGTCAAAGACGATAAATTCTTCATTCTTGTTTAAAGGAAGAGAGAAGTGTGTGTTTATTCTCTTCCTTACTCTCCCAAGGGAATCCAAAGCAGCTTACAAAATTGTTCTCTTCTTCTCTATTTTATCACCAGGGCAACAACCCTGTATAGTAGGTTAGGCTGAGAGAGAGTGACTGGCCCCGTGAGCTTCCATGGCAGACTGGGGGGTTTCAAATCTACGTCTTCCAGATCTGACACGCAAACAACTACTGCATGCTTGTATATAATGGACATGGGGTAGGAAGCCACTTTAGCACAATGATGCAGCTGATATGTTGTTTCTGGACAAAGATAAAAATGTCACTGAAAGGCTCCTTCAGCAAAGAGTTTGTAAATTACTGACAAAGGAGCCAAACAGCTGATATTTACAAAACAGCTTGGCCCAGAGCAGCTGTTCTTAAATACTTTGCTCATTTGTTGACTTTTTAAATTGTCAGCACAGGGTACGGGGATTTTCTAGGACTGACCCTGGATTTCTAAGAGATGACCAGCTCCCTGTTTTACTTTTACGAGCTGTTAATCCAAACCCCAGTGTACACAAGTATAATGCTGATAGGATAATATTTCAGAGGGAAATGTGCAAACTGAGGAACAGTTTCAGCATAGGTGTATGTGAGGGGAAAACTTCAAATAATACACTTACTTTGGCATCTGAAAGCATGCACCTCCTACTGAGATGGTGTATGATTTACACATTACAGAGTATACAGGTTGGGTTCAGGGTCCTCAACCCTGTATCTGTGTAATAGTCAGATATGAGTTACATGTTCTCATTAGTTCTCACATGTTATGCATGATTAAAGTTGTGTCTGTAGTGTGCACAGAGAAGCACCTGTCTTCACCTCCTGTGCTATTTCCCCAACCTGAAATGGTCCTAGGAGAGTACCTGAGGAAACTCACGCATGCTGTCTAGCCATACTTAGGATTTCTCAACTGGTACTAATTCAGGATTCCTTGTAGTTTGGCTAGAAACAATGTGGCTACAGTGGGAAAGGGAGAAATATTTCTCTTTAGGCATATAGTGTAGAAGTTGTAACATCTGGTAATGGGGCCAGTGACATCTGCCATGTTTAAAGTAAAATCTCCTGGGATTGCAGTGTAGATTGACTGGGGAGGACCAAAATGGAATATGCTGAAGATTGGTGGTGGTGCACCAAGGTTGCACCAGAGGACCTTAAAAAGGGCTGGTGCAAACAGCCCTGTGTTTATCTACTGCAGATGGAGACAGAAGCAGTAGAGTCCTATGGCTACCCTGTGTGTGCAGAAGTTTTCTAGTTTTCTTCTTGAAGCTGGTGAAGGCTTAATATACACAGTGGTGAATCTCTGTTTCTTTTTGTAGAAGATTGCAGGAAGTCACCCTTGTCTGTGAAATGTGCCCCTCAATAGTTCTCTTTGAATTGTGAACTCATGCAGTTACCCTTGGCTGTTAGGCAATGAACTCTAAAATGTCTGTCATGCATGGAAGCATCCCTTTGACAAGCCTCAGTGACCTCCATTTTTTTCTTTAGCCAATTGACCTCCCCCCATTTGCTAAGCTAGAATGTTCCAGGGGTTCTTCCTCATCTGTTGGCAATTCAGATCCACTGAATGTGTTTCAGTCAGTCATAAAAGATGTATGAGTTTTTCGCCGACTAACACTCTGACTCAGGAGTATTTTACATCCGCTCCTAGGAAACTCATGGACTCCTCAAAGTGTCATCAGTGATTCAAATGACCCATTTGAGGCTGTTAAGAAGTTTAAGAGAGTGAATGTAATTCATTTGAAGAGACATTTTGGCTTTTGTGAAAGGATCCAAGCAACTAGCTAGAAGGCCCAATCAGCATTCTGTTCAAACCCGTAAAATACAGGCTGGCTTGTGCCTCAGACAGCCAGACATTCAGCTCTTTGAAAATCAAGGCCAGATTCAGCAATGGAAAACAGAAAGCAGATGGAGGCAGTGTTTCAGGGATGGGTCTTCAACATTGAAAGTTCTGTAATAATAGAATGCTTGATTTTGTGTGTGTGTGAGAGAGGGGGGGAGGGTCTTCCAAAAATAGTTGCAGAGGTAAACTTGGAAAGGGACATAACTGCCGCTACAGTGCAGTGATGTATTTGTACTCTGGTTCAAAGCTGGGTACAAAATACACATTAGCTAGCTGTGCCTCAGCTGTGAAGTGCTTCTGCATGTTTTTGTTTTTGTTTTGCTGTTTGAAAAATCCATAAAATCCACGTGAACATCAGAAACCCAGTTCTTTCCTCATTGCTGTTATGTGTATTTTAAAGGCATAAGCGTCTAAAAATGCACATGTGCCTGTTTCACATCTGTAAAAGTTCCAGACCCCTCTTATGGATCTCCCATTCACTCACCTTCCATTTGGCAACACCTGCTGGCCATTGAGCCATCTCCAAAGTCTAGCTCAGCAGCTTTTCTTCTTTTTTTCTTCCAAAAGATTCTTAAACCTCAAATGGCAGCTCCATTAGAGTGTATAATAGAACGAAGAAAAACATTTGACTGTGTTGTTCCCGTCACAGACTGCCTGCAGTTTATATTAGCAGGTGAAGGTAGGGAGACTAAACCTAGCACCCTATATGAGGAAAACTACAAACTTAGTTCCACACACCCCTTTCCCTGTGGGAACAATATTTTTTTTTGGGGGGGGAGATTCTTCTTCCATTATTCAAGCATTCTAAATTCTGCTAAACCACTGCGGTCAGAATAAAACCATACAAATATTATCAGCATATGCAAATTAAGTTTGTGTACCTTGTTTTGACTACTGGAATTAAATTTCATTGATGTGGAACATAAATATTTTTGGAATATAAAGAATCCATGCCTTTAGGGTAAAAGACTGGGGAAGTTAAAATCTCGAGCCAGCTGCCTTTTCCTTTCTTTCTTGTTCATTTGTTAGTGTACAATTCTGAAATACCGTAGATGCTTGCTCCCCATAGCCAGAGTATGGACCTGCATTCCCATGTCACTCCGTGATCAGTCAACATTTAAGACCATTTTCACATCTGTTAGTAGTTATTCCTCTAGACTAGATTATAAACTGAGATGGGCAACTGCAGTGCCTTCAGGAATGAGCTGTGTATTTGGCTCCCAGCAAAGAGGGTATTACTGCTCTGCCTATAATGAAAAATCCCCTGTTCAACCAAGCAGAGTTGCCAGGTATTCTCTAGGAAATGATGTTAATACCTTAGATGAACTCAGATGGGATTCTAACTGCTATGCCTCCTACTTTGTTGCTTCCACCACTGTCCTTCCTTGCTGCCCTGTGGGGCTCCATTTTTGCTCCACAGCATGGGGCAGGGGACTGAATGAGGTGAATGGTGAAGCGGGTGGGTTGGAGACTTGACAGCTGTACCCTGTCTTGATGCTGTTGACCATTTTGGTCTCTGGATGCTCTGTGGGTGAAGATCATAACAACCTTAATGCCCATAATGAAGAACAGAAGGCTCCATCCATTCGCCTATTTTTATCCTGCCTTTCCTCTAAGGATTGCAGGGCATGGTTCTCTCTTCTTCTGTCACAGTTGCCCAATGAGGTAGCAAAGGCTGCAGGAAAATTACTAGCCCAAAGACATTAACTGAATGTGTGGCGGAGAGAAGATTTGAACCTGGGACTGCTAGTGGGAAGGAGAACTCTCTGTTTTTCCTGTTTGTTCTTTTATCCAAAAAGATTCCTTTCCACCTGCCCCAAGCATGCAGACATGGCTATCCATGCTTCAAGAGTGTTAATTCAAGAGTAGTAAATGAAAAGATCTCTTTCTTTGTCTCTTTCAGTGCCTCTTGGATGTGTGGACCTGTAGTCTGAAACCACACTTGAGTACAAAGCCAGGGGTGATGGCAGTTCTTTCTTGTCTTTGTATTGCAGATTATGGGCTTGATCGCAAGCTCTTGATTAAAGTCTGTGGGTGCTTGGAGCCCATGAACATTAGGCAACGGGTTGGCTTAATTTCTGTTTTGTTTGGACAACCATGGAGCTGCTAAAACCAGGGTTTTCGTGGGTGAAAGAACAAACACAAAATGAGAAAATGCCCTACTTCCCAGGTCCCAGTTGACAATATCTAGTTGCATTTCTTCTCAGTAGGAGACCTTTAATACAGTAATTAATTCACATGTACTAACGCACTTGCAAAAGCGTAAAGCAAACATCCAACTGTATGACCTACAGTGGCCTGGAACACAGTGCTTTAAAGAGGACACTTTTGGGGGTGCTGTTCTACTGTGCCCAGGGGCCAGCTAGATGAGGATGCTTCCTGTCATATGCCAAGGGAAAATGAGTGGGGCCATGAATGTCTGTCCTTCATTGGTAGCTACTGAGGAAGAGTCTGCTGCTTTCTTCCAACCCTGGCCAAGTGCAAACTTTGCCAAGTAATACTGAGCTTAGCAAGCATGCACTGTTCAGATGCCCTATAAATGGGTAGAATAAACATAAGTGGGTGGGAAGCAGGTTGCAGTAGTAAGTCCCACCCTGACTTCCATGCAGTCTTGGTTTGGTTTTCACAACTAGGAATCATTGTGTGTTCAAGCGTACATGCATATGCTGTATGCACACACTCCAGTGAATGTGTTTGGTTCAGGGTGGAGCTTGCCATGGTGATTTCTGCTCCCCCAACACACTTTCGTTTTGTCATAGAACATCTGGAAAGGATTTTTAAGAAGGTCTTCCTCTCAGCTTCTTCCTTATTCCTGTATGAGCGCTAGTGTGGCATAGTAGTTATATAGTGTTGTCCAGGATCTGGGAGACACAGATTCAAATCTTCATTCAGAAATGGAAACTTGCTGGGTGACCTTGGGCTAATCACACTCTCTCAGCCTCACAGGGTTGTTGTGTGGATGAAACGGAGGAGAGGAGAATGATGTAAGCTGCTTTGGGCAGAAAAGGCGGGGGGTGTAAGTGTAAATAAGTAATTGCAGCAGACAGTATGGAAGGCTGGCATGTGTAGTGCCTGCACGATGTCAGTTCTGCTTCCCCCCTCTGCCTCTCCAGCTGCTGAAATGTGGCTTTGAATATTGTTTTGGGGACTGAAGGGGAGAGTTGTGTGCTTTGATCATGAAGTGGGGTAGATTTATTTATACAAGCAAGGGAAGTGTGGTTTTGTGAGCTTGGAGACTGACCAGACGCTTTCTCCCACATGGCTTCCTGGAGCTTTTCCAGGGGCTGGGAGGCCGATGCAGGGGGCTCCCATCCAGCACATTTTCATTTGCTCTCCCTCCTCTGCGGTGCACAGTATTTACATACCTCAGCTCCACAGCTGGCTTCCATTTGGCTGCTCTAAAAAAATAATCTCAACAGAGACAGCTTTTTTGCATTGCTTGCCAGCTGTGAAATGGAGATCTGTTTTAAAAGCAACAGCAGTGCACTGCTGTGTGGGGGTGGATCCCTTGCTGCCCCCCCTCTCCCCCCCACCAACGGATGACTTGTTTGCACACATTTTTTAGCAGGACAGATACATCAAGGTACAGAAGCTGGGGTGGTTCTGGAGTGTCCTTGTAAATGAGCAGCTTGTTTTTGCTGAGCTTGAATAGGAAGGGGTGGTATTTTCATTAGATGCAGAAGATTGCTGCTTAATGCATGTGGGTGGGCAAGGGGGAGGTAGAGGAACAAGCAGTCTGTCTCTGAACCATCTGTGATCTCCCACGTGATGGTCAGGCAGAGCTTTAAAGTCTTGTGCTACTGATGTTAGAAGACGGAGGAGGTAGGCGAGATGGCTGTGGTGTGACACAGAAGGGAGATCAGGATCGGGGAGATCTGGGTTCAAATCCCTACTCTGCCACAAAGCTTTGCTGGGTGGCTTTGGGTTAGTAATTCTCTTTCAGCCTAACCTACTTAGAGACTTGTTAGGATGAGTAGGGACAGGGAATTGGGGACAAAGGACAAAAACTTAGTGGGCCCTAATTTAAGCTACAAATTGCATTGCATTAAAAGAGCAGAAAGGTGTCCACTTGCCAGACACAGAGGTATGAGCTGCCCTGTATAACTGCCATACTTGTGGAGAGCTTGAAGGAAGTCTGAGACATGGCCAGTGTTGTTTGTGGGGGCTGTATGTTCCAGTCCTAGATTATTATTTTAATGTGGAAAAATTAAATAAACAGTACCTATTACGGCAAGCAGCTGCTTCTTGAAGAATGGCCAAACTTGTTACTGCTGTAAATCTAGCAAAGAGAAATGTATATATTCTAGATATAAAACTAGGCAAGTGGAATCAGAACTTAACTGGGGGTTACCTATGCCTTGTAGGTGGACCAGAGTACCTGAATAGGGAGAGTCAGTGAAGGGGGGGAGGGGGAAGAGGGTGATCTTGCATGGTGAAAAAACAGAACCCAGAGGATCAGACCTCTGTTGGCATAAATCAGAATTATGTCCCTGCAGAAAACAGACATAAGGTGATGGCAGGGCTATCATGGAAATAATGTCTTGTTTAGCCAATGGTTGGATAGAAAAATGGGGATATAAATAGTTTAACTTTATCAGTACCTTATGACTTATTCTTATACCACTGTGAGAGCTAGGATGGTGTAGTGGTCAGAGACCAGGATCTGGGAGACTGAGGTTCAAATCCCCACCCTTCCCCGGAAGCTTCCTTGGGTGCCTTGGGGCCACTTTCTCAGCCTCACCTACCTCGCAGGGTTCCTGTGAGGATAAAATGGGGGAGAGAACAACGTAAGCTGCTTTGGGGCCCCACTGGGAAGGAAGGCAGGGTATAAATGAAGTAAAATATATAGCATTAGTGAGCAACAAGCTGGGTGTGCTGGTCTGCGCATTATGTAGAGGCAAACCCACATTTGCCATCGAGCCTCCCAGAACCTCTTCTCCCTGCTCACCCTCTGGAGCCTGGATGTGCCATGCAAGAACCGCTCTCTTAGATTATTGCGGAAGGCCCTGGTGTGTGTGTGTGTGTGTGTGTCCCTGCTTTCTAAAGTCAGACAGGTGGCAAATGGAGCCAGGGATTTCTGTAGCAATACCCTCCCAAGGGATAGAACAAAGTTTGAGTCCAGTGGCACCTTTAAGACCAATAAAGTTTTATTCAGTAATATAAAAAATAAAATAAATGAATAAAACTTTGTTGGTCTTTAAAGGTGCCACTAGACTCAAACTTTGTTCTTGCTGCTTCAGACCAACATAGCTACCCGCCTGAATAAAAAATAGGAAAAATTGTATACATATGGGAACAGTTGTCTAGCTTCACAACATGCCCTTTCCCCTCTAAGTGCATAACAGTCCTATGGAAAAGTCTTTTATTTTCTCCTTTCAGGCATCACGTGGGGTAAGGTGGTGTCGCTGTATGCTGTGGCAGCAGGGCTGGCCGTGGACTGTGTGAGACATGCCCAGCCAGCCATGGTCCACACCATTGTAGACTGCTTGGGGGAATTTGTACGCAAGACCTTGGTGACGTGGCTTAAAAGGAGAGGAGGCTGGGTAAGTGGCACTGAGTTTTACAGCACTGTTTACAGCGTGTAAGTTACAGAAAAGTTATTGGCAAGATCATTACCAGCTACCAGCTGGCATAATTTACAACAAACAGGACCATGGTGTATAATAGCTAGTAAAACAGTAAATCACCATGTACAATTAAACAAAATTTGTTGGTTTTTATATGCAACGTTTAGAATTCAATTATTAACAAAATTACAACAATAACACTACAATATGCAATATAAAGCTTAGCAGTACATACAGAGTAATACAGTACTAGTTACAGACAAACGACGGAGTTCTATACACTATCCGTTTGCGCGTCCTTCTTCAGGTTTGTCATTCTGTAATTATTTCTTCATTAGAATGAAGTGCTGCAAGCCATATTTCAAAATGCTAATTCTTATACAATTTTTTGAGTATGCTACCGTGCTTAGATTCTGGTGACTGGGGAGCTCCTATAGCAAGCTCTAATGTGACTGGGTCTACAGCAGCATTTCATTCTAATGAAGAAATAATTACAGAATGACAAACCTGAAGGACATGCAAACGGATAGTGTACTAGAACTCCGTCGTTTGTCTGTAACTAGTACTGTATTACTCTGTATGTACGGCTAAGCTTTACATTGCATATTGTAGTGTTATTGTTGTAATTTTGTTAATAATTGAATTTTAAACATTGCATATAAAAACCAACAAATTTTGTTTAATTGTACATGGTGATTTACTGTTTTACTAACCAGCTGGCATAAAGCAGGGAAACACAAGACAAGTTCCCCTTTGCTAGTCAGTCTAGCCATCTATCCCTGACCCGCGGTGACCATGCTTATACTTCCTCTGCATGGCCCTTGGGCTTTGTGCCTGGCCTCCCGTAACCCTGACTATATTTGCCATCAAGCTTCCAGCACAATGCCACTAGCCTCATTTGCTCATGACCTGCTAGCACATTTTCTATGAACTCAGTCCTAATGCCTTAAAGGCACACACTCTGTTTGTATTTGTATAATACACACAGAGCACATGTGCTGAGCAGGTGCTTTAGAATTCCGCTGCTCATGGGCCTCACGTGCTTTAGTTCGGGGAATATTTCATTGGGTTCATATCAGCTGAATGTGTATGGAAGCTGTGGAGTAACAGTGGGAAATGAATAACTCAAAATTAGTATCATATAAATCTTAAAGATTTGAACACCATGTTGTTGCCAGATATGCCCCTTCTAGCATTTCCTGTGACCCTTCTTTTCAGCTTCCACAGCATCTGAGGCAGGAGTCATTCCTGTTGTCTATCAGTTCCACTCAGAGTGGAAACACCTAAGAGTCTTCATGCCACTGTGTCATCTTCTCCTTCCTCTGAGCTGGGTGGCTCTGATTGCACACATTTATCATACCAAGGTGCATGGCTGGACTAATCGGGATCCTCTCAGGGGCTATGGCTGTCTTGCTATTCCTGCCTTTAATTCACATGCCGCTTGGCTGTCCAATGGTATATCCATTGGGCACCTATGACAGTGAGGAACATTTTCCAGCAATATGAAAAGCAAGGCAGGCTGTGAAACTGCAGATTGCCAGGGAACAGATGAAAGCGTGTTATGGAGTAGATGCTGCCCCGAGGAATGCCAGTTGACCATCCCTGCTTTGGAAGATTACTTTTCTGTGTTCATATAAAGCTCAGAAGAATTAAATGCAACTAAGTGCAATTGGTGGTTAACTGCAAACACACACCTCTCAGATGTGTACCAACATTGGTTTGTATTCAGTAGAGTGTTTCCATGGGCAGGAGGATTTCTATCCATGGAGTGTGTCTTTCTTGCCTCCACCTCCCACTACAGCCCCAAATCCTTCCACCCACAGAAACAGAGAAATTTGCAAGATACACAAAACACACAGAGATTTACTGGCAGCCTGTGGTTTTGTAGTTTTCAGCCATATTATGCTGGTTAAGGACAGGCGGGCTGCAGTTTGGCACAAATGAGGCCCCTCAGGATGCCCAGGTAGACAGATTATGGGGAAAATACAATGTAGTGGTTCTAAGGGAAAACCTCTATGGAGACTGAATGGGGTGGGAAGTCTGTCCCAAGCCAGCCACTGAGAATTCTTGTGGAACTGCCTCAGAAGTCAGACTGTACAATGTTCAAGGTGGGAAACTGTGTAGAAAGATGGGAAGCACGAATTTTTGATTCTTCTCTGTTCTTCTCCCCTCCTCCTTCTAGACTGACATAACGAAGTGTGTGGTGAATACTGATCCTAGCCTTCGCACCCATTGGCTTGTGGCTGCCATCTGTAGCTTTGGTCACTTCCTGAAGGCCATCTTCTTTGTGCTCTTGCCAGAAAGATGACATCCAATTGCTAAGTGAAGCCCATCTCCTTCTTGGGGACCCAGGCAGCATAGAGAAGGGAGAGGAATGAGTTGAGGGGAGGGTCAGGCAAATATACATTCCTTTCCCAGCTGCCTAAATGCAAAGACTTTTTCAGCAATGGGAAAAAATTTGTCTGAGTCATTTCTTGCAATGCCCTTTGCACTTTGAGTGGTTAAAATCTTGGTCACAAGGGCAGGAGACTAATGTGCTTGCTGCTCAGTGATTTCCCTCCTCCCCATCCAAACAGTGTCATATTTACACATAAGAAAAGTAAAGAATTTTAGCCGAAGCTGCCAACAAGAAGACTGTGCCCCTTTAACTGTAATATGGCAGCTGTCTAGTGAGTTCTTTTGGGTGGCTAGTACATCCTCCAGCCTTCTCTGAACAATGCACCCTTGAGGCTCATGGGGGCTTCTGAAGTTAAGAGTTCTCACAGCTATACAATTCTCAAGGGTGAACCACAAAGGGATTCTGTGACATGAACAGCAAACTGTTTACTACATCCTTACATGAGGGATTTGGAATGAGTTAAACGCTAGGTTTGACCCTAATGGAACAAAATAACAGACCCCTCAGATGATAGTCTCAGAGAATCCCCGCCCCCCAAGCTTGAGAAAGTTGAGGGTGCAAGTGACTCCCTATGGGAGTTGTACTTTGTGGGGAAAGAAGTGTCATAATGTCTTGTATCCACTGCCATGTGTTTATCATGTACAACTGTTTATTTTGTGGTAAACAATAAATGCTGAGTATTTAGTAGTGTGAACTGTACATGTATT